CACCAGTGGTTTGTGGGAGGTGACAGCTCAGAGGCAGATGAGGTGGAAAGCTGGGAAATCATGGGAGAGTCAGAACAACACCTGGCTGACACGCTGTCGTTAGAAAGCATTCCAGACCCTCCATCTGCCAGAACCCAGAGAGCCTTAAAAATAGGAGAGCAAAGAGCTCAAAGACAGAGGGCACATATTCATGGTTCCTTAACTTCTACTTCTTGGTTGTTTTTTCAAATACAGAGAAAAAGATTCTATAGAGTGGAGAAAGGAAATGTGGTTGTATGAATCAGTCCCAAAGCCACACATAAAGTCAATAATTTGATGGGTACAGGGTTGTGAATGTATATTTATTAGCCTCAACTTGATGGGTTACAAACTGGCAATCTAAAACTTTTCCCCAATAGTAAAAGTAAATATATCCCCCGAATAAATCTATTCATCAGCTGTTATGGAGATCCATCTTGACAGGGCTGAGATGCAGTCTGACTGTTAACTGCTTTTGGACTTTACCAAGACTTAAAGCATATCCTCTTTGTGACATCACACGTGACCTCAGAATGGCATGTTTGCATTCAACCTAGACTATCTCCATGCCAACAGCAATGGCCAGTAAACTTCTGCAACCAAGTAACCATCAGCCTGACTACCCAGTTGTTTCTATCTAGACTATTGAATGTTTATTTTTTGCTCTCATAATCAAAGCCTGAAGAAGAGCTGTGTATAATCTGAAAATCTGCTTCCACTATTAAAGAAAACTAATTGTCAGGGACTGGGCAGAGGAGGAATGGTGGAGACCACCTCCCCATCCTGATCCTTCCAGGGAGGAGAAAGAAGAAGATGACAGTATAGATTTACAACGGGGTTTGAGGGAGGTAGCAGCTCAGAGGCAGATGAGGGGGAAAGTTGGGAAATCATGGGAGAGTCAGAACAACATCTGGCTGACACGTTGCCATTAGAAAGCATTCCAGGCCCTCCATCTCTCAGAACCCGGTGAGCCTTAAAAGTAGGAGAGCAAAGAGCTCAGAGACAGAGGGCACCTGTAGAGGAGATGATGAGAATGACGAATGAAGAAGTGGGAGAGAAGCGGGGTGGAGACAACATCATTATCCAAGAGGCTGGGTTCTATAGCCTCTCTCTGTAAAGATTGAAGAAAAAAAGGACGGTAAGAAGCTTTTCCTTGTCTTTATTCTTTCCTGGGCAACCAGCTGGGAGCCACTGACAGCATCCTGACACCAAGGGTATCTCAAATTTGGAGCTGGTCTTGGAACTGTGAGCCAGGGAGAAAGGATTTCCAGACTTGCCACTATCAAAAAGTCACTGGGTGGCCTTGGGGCAGCCACTATTGCTCTCAGAATTTCCCTGGGGGGCACTGGAACGATCCAGTGGTGGTGGTGGAAGCATAAAGAAGAAATTTTTTGAATAGGAACCATTCGTACATGTTTCATCTGCTGTGTAATGACGCTTGCCAATGTAACATAGAGTTAAAGTCATAGTGCTTATTTTCCAAATAGACGCACAAAGTGCAAGTTTTAACTGATCAGTGGTCAAGTCCGCTGACAGGTCTTAACAAGCAAGTGTTGGCAGGCGAGTATGTTGTGCATTGTGGGGAAGGCTAGCATGCATCAGAAGGAAAATTCATGCTTACAATACAATATTATAAAGAGGCAATATGTACGAAATTATTTTAATAAATTTTCTATAAATTCAAGCTTCAAGCTGTCTTATTTCCAAAATCTTTCTTTACCAGGACATATATAGAAATATAGATACATAAAGCAAATTTGTCACTGCATTTTTCTGTTTCTTTGCTTTAAAAAGGAAGATTTTCAGGGCATGCTGATTAATTTTTCCCCCTAAAAAGGGGGCGGTAGGCCAAATAAGTTTGGGCACCTCTGTTCTATCTTAATCCCCTATTTGGAGCAGGGTGCTAATATTGGCACTTGGCTTACTTACTCTCGTATGGAAATACAGCTGGAAGAAGCTGTGGAGCCATCCCAAGCATAGGGCTTTTCTGAAGTTCAAGAAGAAATGCAAAACCTTTGGCCATCTGGCAAGGTAAGCAGCAAGCTCCCTCCTCAAAATGACACATATATTTATTTCCCCTCCAATTAAGTCCAATTTTTCGTGTAGATTTTGCTTCATCCCACCCTGCCCAAGGAAATGTTTGGAAATAAAACTTCTGAAATGTTTGAAACGCTTTTGTTCTGGCTCCATTGCCAACATCTTTGGTCTAAAAAGTGCAACTGAAGTCAGGATTTGGCCCTCTGTTTAACTGCATGACAAAATACTTAAGGTGGTCAATGCAATCGTTGCAATAATTCTGGTACAATACATTATAAGATACATTTGTTGCAATGAGGTGTTTAATAGAATTTCTTTTTTAGTCTTAAAAACAGGCACATGCATGTGCTCATGAACATAGTTGGAATGACTGAGGAATTTAATCTTTGTGAATCCTGAGATGAGCTGACCTGATCCTGTCGGGGAAATTGATTTATTACTCAGATAAGCGTCCGGCACGCTTCCCATCACAGGCCTCTGCATTCCAAAGTCCGACACAACTGAGCATAGCAGAGATCGACAGCGGTAAGAGAAAGACTGCAAATAAAACTCCAGTGCCTTCTTCAGTGTGCTTAAATAAAGTCCACTCAGGATCTTAGCAGCTAAAAGCAGTTTTATTTACAGCAGACTATCCATTATCTATTACAGCGAACAGCATCGTGAAAACACGTCCTCTCTCCTCAAAAGCAAAAGTAGAGAGAAAGAACAAAGGCTTGAGGCTCTCGGAAATGACGAACCTCCCCCCTCCCAACAGTACGCAGAGCGTACACTCTGAGCTGTTTAACCTTGTAAGCTCAGGTTTTCCTCACAGATCCTTCCTGGACTAATGTGTCGGTTGGAACTAATCCATGGTCTTTTGCAGTTTCATACCCTCCATCATTTTTCTGATGAAAATAGGGATGTCCTTTGTTGTTGTTTAGTCGTTTAATCATGTCCGACTCTTCGTGACCCCATGGACCAGAGCATGCCAGGCACTCCTGTCTTCCACTGCCTCCCAGTTTGGTCAAACTCATTTCAGTAGTTTCGAGAACACTGTCCAACAATCTCGTCCTCTGTCTTCCCCTTCTCCTTGTGCCCTCAATCTTTCCCAACATCAGGGTCTTTTCCAGGGAGTCTTCTCTTCTCATGAGGTGGCCAAAGTATTGGAGCCATAGCTTCAGGATCTGTCCTTCCAGTGAGCACTCAGGGCTAATTTCCTTAAGAATGGATAGGTTTGATCTTCTTGCAATCCATGAGACTCTCAAGAGTCTCCTCCAGCACCATAATTCAAAAGCATCAACTCTTCAGCGATCCTAGTCAATTAGGGACGTCCTAGTCAATTATTATTATTATTATTATTATTATTATTATTATTACCTGTCCATCTGATTGGGTTGCCCCAGCCACTCTGGCTGCTTCCAGCATACACAAAAGCATCATTAAACATTAAAAAAACCAAACTTCCCTATAGAGGACTGTCTTCATATGACTCAGGGGTCAGATAACTCCATACCCTCCAACATTTATCTGAAGAAAATAGTGACAAAAGTGGGACATTCCAGGATCAAATCAGAAACCGGGACAACTTCTGTAAATTCGGGACTGTCCCTGGAAAATAGGGACACTTGGAGGGTCTGCAGTTCCCAAACATTTCAGTGCATCAAAAACATTTAAAAATGTGCATTTTAAGAGGAAATGCATGTTTTAAGAGAGAATCTATTTAAAGCATGTGTTGAAATAGGTATTTAAATGCACATTTTGGAGTTTGTCTGTATATATGTATGCATGTTCATGAGAGAGGGACAGAGAGAGAAAGACAGAGAGAGAGAACTATAGAAAAGGAGCGTAGAGTGGAATAGGCTTAGGGACTTAGTGTATGTGAAAGTGACACAGATCAACACACACAGATGGATAAACACATAATAGCATTTTGCTCTTTACTATTGAGAATGAACTGCACTTGTCTTTCAGTTTTGCCATAACATTTCTTATGAAAACCATCCTCAGTAAAAGAGCAACATCAGAAGTACCAGGCATTTGTAAAGATGTTTGTAACAATTGCTTGTTGACAGTGTTTCTTTTTCCTCTTCAAGGTGATGAAACAGAAGGCCTTACTTAGACAAGCAAGTCATTGGGGGAAAAATAAGCACCATCTGAAGAAGGTTCTGCAAAGGCAGTTATGTATTTGCTCTTGCAAGCTTCCCATTAGCTGATTTGCATTGGACTGGCAAATAATATGCCACCATAATAGCTGCAGTACTTTTGCTGATATTGCAATATAGTCAGGGAGGCTCACTGAGAGTGAAAGCAGGTGTTCTTCTAAGCATGTGTGGCTGCTGCAGAACTTGTATTTCTCCAGACATTGCTCTGTCCCTGAGCCACATTATGGGCTGATGGTGGTGAGAAAGTTTGGGATGCCATGGCACCATGATGATGGCCCATGTTGTAAGTTGTTACATGGGGCAAGGACGGTGCATAACATGCCATGTTTAATAGCTATGCATTTTGTGTGACATGCATTTTCAGACAGCTACGTATCAAGTTTGATCCACAGGGTACCGTATTTTTCGCTCCATTGGACGCACCGGACCATAGGACGCACCGGATCATAGGAGGGGGAGAACAGGGAAAAAGATTTTTTTTCTTGTTCTCCCCCTCCAAAACATGGTGCGTTCAAGTTACATTCACCAGAGCTTGTGGGGCTGGCAGTGGGGGGAAGCGCTGCTTTCCCCCACCGCCAGCCTCAAAGATCCCTGAAGCCTTTGGAGCGCAGCGCCCCGCTGCCCTGCAGAGGTTTGCGCGCAGCCATCCCTAAGCTAGAGCAGCGAGACGGAGCCCTCCGTCTCGCTGTCCTGGCTGGGAACAGCCTGCTAGCTTCTGCAGGACAGCGGGTGAAGGCACCCGCTGCCCTGCAGAGGCTTGCGCGCAGCCCTCCCAAGCTGGAGCAGAGACGGAGCCCTCCGTCTCGCTGTTCTGGCTTAGGAACAGCCTTGCTAGCTTCACCCCGCTGTCCTGCAGAAGCTAGCAAGGCTGTTCCTAAGCCAGAACAGCGAAATGGAGGGCTCTGTCTCGCTGCTCTAGCTTGGGAGGGCTGCGCGCAAACCTCTGCAGGGCAGCGGGGTGCCTTCCCCTGTCCTGCAGAAGCTAGCAGGCTGTTCCCAAGCCAGAACAGACGGAGCGCTCCGCAGTGCTCCGTCTTCCTGTTCTGGCTTTGGGCTTAGCGGCGCAGCCTGCATTCGCTCTATAGGACGCACACACATTTCCCCTTAGTTTTTGGAGGGGGAAATGTGCGTCCTATAGAACGAAAAATACAGTATATATGGGCAGGGCTTTTTTTCAGCCAAAACTAAGTTCCAGCACCTCTCAGGTGGGCACCATGAAAGATACATTCATGGTGAGTTCTGGCATCTCACCATAAAAATAACACTGTATATGGGGTGTTAGGGGTGTTAGGGGACAGTCAGAACATCTGGTAGGGGAACACGCCATGTTCCTTCTGGGGTAGCTCATCCCCCTTTGGTCCTTGCACTGCACTCAGCTCTTACCTGTGTCTCCTAGAATCTGTCATCATGTGTCAGGCTTTGGGGAAGTAGCTTCCTCCCCCGTGGCAGTAAATAAGAAGATCAAATGAAAGGAATGTCTTACCAGTTAGATTCTTTAATAATCAGTGTGAGAGAAAAGAACATGTCTACCTAAAAATGGCGGTGCTCCCATTGAAGGTTAACTCCCTCCCTCCCTATTAAATCTATGTCATTCCTACGTTTTGTACCCTGAGCTTGTACCCATTGTGCTTTCTGTTCTGCCACTTTCTCAGCTCTTCTTGACCTTGGGGAGAGCGGATTAATGCTTTCCAGAGACAGTGAATCTGTAAACCCTCTCTCTTCCAGTCTTTCTTCTCCTAGCTGTTCCCCATCCAGTATTTCCCAGCTTTTCCTTTCTGAACTATGCCCCTCTGCAAATCACTCTTCCAAATCTATACTGTCTTCCTGTTCCTGAGAAGATTCTGACATCATGCAACCATGTCGGCACTGCAGGAAATGGCTTTGACTGGCGGGCTAAACCAGGTGAAGGTAACTGATGAGCCTTAAATCTTCAGTGAGTTAGGTATTTGTTGCACACTTGCTCACAAAGACAGGGTCCAGTACACTGAGCAGACGAGACCAATAGTGGGCCCAACAGCCAAGAAGGCAGTTTCTACACATGCTGTGGAGGGAAATGAGAGGCAGATGGGGCTTGTTAACCTGGGAAGGCAGCCCATCAAGGAGAAATCTCTGACCTTAAACCTCCACTGCTTTGCAGCTATACTCATTCATGGGAAAGGCTTCAGGAGTAAAACCTGAGGGAAAATATCTATCCGTTGCCTTGCAGGACATCTACGGGAGTAGAAGAAGCCAAAGAGCAAGCTCTACACAAATCCAGAGTTGGATTGCATCTTGTATGCCTCCTTCCAGCAACTCCTGCAGCCAAGTTGGTGCCAGATATATTGTTTTGTTTTCCAAATCAGAGAAACCAAGAGTGGGGTCTTGTCTAGGATTTTGATACAAACTCCCCAGGCTTGTGCCCTGGAGCAGTCATTTCATTACTGCTGATGCAGCAAAAACATACAGGAGGAAGAAATACCATACTTTTTCATGTATAACACGCCCCCTTGAATAAGATGTCCCCTGTTTTGGGGGACTCCTATTTCAGAAAATGGCCCAATGCAGTTAATCACTAACCCGACAGTTGCAATCACTCGTGTCTGCTACAAATGTCTGCCCGATTGCCAACAGCAGAAGTAAACAGCAAGCACAACTGCCACAGCGGTAGCCAATCCTCAGCAGCTATTGACTCAGCAACCAAGAACACACTTCCGGGTTAGCGCCTCTGGCAATGGCGGATTTCCTCTGACCGGGAGGAATCCGCTTCGTGAGAACTAGGGTCTGGACCGCCACGGCGAGGCAGAGACCACCAAAAACCACAAGCCGGAGAAGCCTGTGGACGTGGGATTCGGCTGGCACCTTTTGCGCCTCCCCTACTCACGGGGAAACCCGGTTTCGGGGATCTGGAGTGACGTGGGGTGAATGGTGCGGTGCTTCGAATCGACTGCTCTTTTCACGGAGTGAAGCCGCATTGCTGTTGCCGGAGAGCGCTGACTTTTTCCTGTGGACAATTGGATTTTAAACAACTGCCCGTGAGTAGAACGGAAAATTGGACTATGAAACTTCTTAATTTGGCACCGAAGCGGGAAGGTCTAAACAGGAAGTCCGTCTTCCGCTTTTGTAAATAGATTGAAGCAAAGACATTGCAAGCTAGAGTCTGGAAAGTCGTTTGTAAAGGACTAAATTTCCATCAGTTAAAATTACTACGCCCCCCTTGGAAGCAGGAGAAGAGGGGGGGATTTATTTATTTTTTAGACTGTTTAAACCTGCAGAAGAGAGAGTAAAGAAAGATAAATTTCCACCGTCTTGAACCTGGGAGCGGGGTGTCAGAGACAGACGCTTTGGGGAAGTTCATTGACTGTGGATAAACGTTTT